ACAGCACATCAGTGGCAAAGCCAGAGTTATACCTGAATCTGTACTCTTTTTTTTTTTTTTTCGTTTTGAGTCTATACTCCTTTGCCACCAGAGGTTTCCTCCAAAGCACAAACTGGAGTTAGGTTCCAGGTTGAACTCCAGAGCGGTAAACAAGAGCGATGAGCAGGCAGGTGGGAGGAGAGGAGGAACTCCGATCAGAACCCAGTGCTGATGGGCCAGCAGCCTGAGATTAACTCTTCAAACCCGCTCAGCTCCAGTCCCACCCCCTCCTTCTAATAACCACCTTCAGCAAAGGGGCTTGCAAACCACCCGTCTGGACCACTATGGCTGTAGAACGGAGCCCTCCCACTACCAGCAAGCCCGTGTCCTGGGCTCAGCAAGTGACTCAGCCGGGGCAGGTGTCCTCCCCATAACTAAGGCCCAAACTCAGGGAGTGGGCACGAGAGGGAGGGTGATGACCCCAGAGGCGCCTCCGACCTGCACTCTGCACACCTTTGCACAGCTGAGGAAAGGCAATATGCAATGAGGGATTGATTGCTGTTGTTTTTAGGTGCCATGGGGTTGAAGATGACTCATACCGACCCTATGAACAGCTGACCTGAACCCTGCCTTATCCTGTCCCATTTTGTTATGAATGGTATAAAACACGGTGAAACTAAATGAGTGAAGGAAGATGCTGTATGATTTAGAAATTTTAAAATGAACATTTTTTTAAAAAAAAAATAGAAGCAAGAAGATAAACAAAAAAGATTCTGGGGCTCAAATGAGCGTTCCTGACCCTGTTTCCTCTCTGTCAACTTCTTCACGTTCCTCGTCTCTTCTGAGCCTGTTTCCTTGTCCATAAAATAAAGTCTAAACTTCCAGAAAAGGGATGATGACAGGAACAATCAATCACAGGACCAAGGACAGTTCGTTCTCAACTGATGTTAGATGGAATCAGATGATGATGTAGTAAGGGCTAGAGAAGGTCATTTCCCTTCTCTGACAGCCCCCCCCCCCAATTAGGAAGACAACAGCAATCATGTTGTAATGATGTTATGCTCCTTCAAGTAGGAACTGACCCATAGATGGCCCCCTAGCGAATTTACAAAGTCAGTAAACTTCATGGAAGGAGATTGCTCATTCTTCTTCCGGGAGCAGCTGGTGAATTTGAACCACCCGCCTTTGGAACTGCAGCACAACTTAGGCCACTAGATCTCCCTAACTACACAGAGAGGAGGTTTAATTGCAATACTAGCTGCTTTGGAGTCATTTGACTCACACAACTCCAGCACAGAATGATGCTCCACAGGGTTTCCAAGGGCTGATTGTTTTTAAAAAGCAGGTTGCCAGGTCTTTCTTCCGAATCTCTTCTGGATCAATCTTCTGTATCTTAGCTTTTCTGTTAGCAACCAGGTTTGTTAACCCTTTGCACCACCGGGGACTCCTTTAATGGTAATTAACAGCATGTCCTAAGCATTTACTATAATCAGTAACGAATTAAAACGTTAAGTGGATTATCTAATTTTTCTGGACTGTATAATGTGAGAGGCAGTGCATGCTATTATGCTCCAAGAGCAACAGAGGAACCCAAGGCTCAAAAATGATGAAGGAAAAGGGAGGTGGGTGGTAAAAAGGTATCTTTAAAAACACAAAGTTAGAGATTTTAAATATAGCAGGGATTTGAACTTGGGAACTCTGATTGCCATGAACTTGAGAACTCTGACTGCCAAAAGCTCAAACCACCGTCCATTCTGCAAACTCAAGGGTGTGTGTGTGTGTGTGTGTGTGTGTGTGTTTTTGTGTGTGTAGGGTCGAGGTCCTTACCTGCTTCCGGGAGTTGAGGGCGCCCTTCTGGGCCCTGGAGCTGAAGCGAGCTTGGCCAGCGGGGCCTCCCTGGTGCACAGAGCCCGCGCGCCCTGGACCCTCAGGCGGCAGCGGCTGGAGGAAGAGGACGCGCGCGATGAGCACGTACAGCACGGTGGCCAGGCCCAGGGGCAGCGCGTAAAAGAGCGCAAAGTCCAGGAAGTAGACGGGCAGGTAGAGGGAACGTGACATGCGGTAGTCGCACAGCACCTGCACGCCGTCGGCGTACGTGTCCACGCGCGTGTCCACCAGGAAGAGCCAGAGCACGCAGTAGGCGCCGGTGCCCAGCCACACGAGCGCCGCGATGCGCTTGGCCCGCGCCACGGTGCACAGCGCCTGGGCGCGCAGCGGACGGCAGATGGCGAGGTAGCGCTCCACCGTGAACGCCGTGATGGAGCCGGTGGAGGCGTTGATGCCCACATACTGCAGGTAGGTGATGGCCAGGCAGCCCACGTGGCCGAAGATCCACACCTGGGCGGACACAACTTCGGTCACAGTTGGCACTCCGGCGGCCAGGAGCACTAGCAGGTCTGCGGCTGCCAAACTCACCAGGTAACAGTTGGTGGATGTGACCATGTGGCGGCTCCGGACCACCACTAGGACCACCATGACGTTGCCCGCCACACCCACGGCGCACACCAGGGGCACCAGGGCCAGGGTCACCGCCTGCACTGCCAGCGGAGGCCGCGGCATGGCGCCAAGCCCGGTTGCGTTTGCGCGCTGTTGGTCGCTGGTGGAGTTCTCCATGCGCCCCAGCCGGCGCTGCACCCTCTACGCACTGTCGAGTTTGGGAAAATAACTCCTGGCAGCTAAGGTACGCTCCGGCTTCTGGGTGCGCTCTGCTTCTATGTGGAGTGGGAAGCTGGACGTCCTGCAAGGGTCTCTGGTTACACTGGTTTCTCCAGCGCAGTGTAGTCTAACTGCCTCCTCCTGGGACGCTGGGGGACCGGGAGCTGGACCAGATAGACGCGCGCAGCTCAGACTCCCAAGACGTCCCTCTTTGGCCTGTAGTGGCGTTTCTTCTTTACTTGTTTACTGCAGGGATGCATTCCAAACTGTGGGGTTGCGCTCTAGGTAGTGACCTCGCGCCCTGAAGCCGCTTCCTGCAGGACCATTGGATCTTACCTCTGCTCTTCAGATTCTCGGTGCCCCGGGGCCCAGAAAGTGGTAGCCGGGCAAGGAGGCGCCGTTTGCCGCGTTGAATTCCTTCCTGGGTGGCCTTTATGCTTTCCACGACCCTCTCGGGTCAGCTCCTCTGTCGCTCAGCTGAGCCAGGTCTCTCTATCAGTCCCTGTCACCGCCTCCTGGACTCCCGGGGCCGGGGGATGGGGGCTGGAAGCGATGGGGAAGAGAGGCTAAACTACTCGGGCACCTCCGCGGGGCAGGCAGGGAGGAGTCGAGGTCCCGCTGGCTTCTCCACACTATGGATGCTGGAATCCTGTCGCGTTGACATTGGCAAACTTCAGCCCCACTGCAGACCAAGGGGAGCTTAAGATCTGGAGCCCGTGGAATGGGAATTGCCTTGCTAAGCTTTTTACCTTTCCCTGTTCACCTGCCCTGGCCTTCTTGTCTCCTCCCTGAAGTGGTTGTTCAGTGCTCTGTGGGGCGTGCTCTGTGGGGCTGGCTCTGACTCACAGTGGCCTCTATGTAACAGCTGGATCTGGTACCATCCTCACAATCTCTGCGTGCTCAAGCACATTCGTGCAGCCTCTGTGTCAATCCACTTTAAAGGTCTTCCTGAAGAGCACGTGTACATTTCTGCAAAGTATGCTCACCTTTCCCCGCACTATGGCTCTCATCTCCGGAGCAATTGGAGTTTCAGCTCAGTGTCTGCTGCAGGAAAAAGAGCTGTAACAACAATGAAGGACTTAACGTATTTCATCAGGGGCAGAAGCTTCCTGAGAAGCAGGGACCACATCAAGCTTCCTAACGACAGACTGTTTCCATGCAACCAGCCCTCTGCCTGCACTCACCTGGTGCTCACAGAAATTCTTCACTGTTGCTGATCCATCAGTAACCCTCTAAATCTCTCTACATATTTTTTTTCAATCTTGGAAGTAAGAGTGATAATAAGAGATAATAAGTGATAATAAGAGTGTCCTTGGTGTGGAGGGAGATTTACATCGGATGAGCTGGGTAAAATCCATGTGAAGATGATAAAACACATGATCAAACCAAAACCAAAAGTTCTCCTTGCTGTCAGGTTGGTTCCAAGGCATGATAAATCTTATAGGGCAGAATAGAATCCTCACCACTGGGCCAACTGGCAGCACCATGATGGGTGGGTGGAAAAGAGATTGAGATTGTTAATTTCATTTTATTTGGACCCACAAGCAACACTCTTGGCACAAGCAATCAGGAAATCAAAAGATGAGTTGCTTTGGGAAAGCCTGCTTCCAGAGACCAGAGTACTGAAGAGCAATGATGTCAGTCTAGAGACTAAGGTGCACCTGATCCAGGCTATGATCTTCTCAATTACTTGCTATGCATCAGAAAGCTGGATAATAACTAAGGTGACAGAAGAAGAATTGATGCCTTTTAGTCATGGTACTGGAGAAATGTATTGAACGTACCATACCATGAACTGTCAAGAGAGTAAGTCTGCCCTGGAGAGGGTGAAACCAGGTTGCTCCTTGGAGGCAAGGATTGTGAAGTTCTGTCTCACATAGTCTGGGCATGTTGCCAGGAGGGACCAGTCCTTGGAGAAGAATGTCATGCTTGGAAGGGTGGAGAGGCAGCACAGGAGAGGAAGACCATGGATGAGATGGATTGACACAGTGACTATGGCAATAGGGATAGCTGTGTTAGAGACTGTGAGATTGAATCAAAATATGCCAGGATTCAGAGCTATTGTTCATAGGGTCATTATGAGTCATGTCCAACTCAACAGCACATAACAACAACAACAGCAGCATAGAGTTTCCAAGGCTGTTCTCTCTACAAAAGGAGACTGCCACATCAGACTGCCCGTGGATCAGCTGGTGGGTTCAAAGTATTTGCTTAACAGCAAAATACTTAACCATTGTGCCACTAGGGTGAACGTGGCACGGTTTTATTGTTTAGTCATATTAGTGATGGTAGCTATCAGAGCCTCCTCCTCTTAAAGTACAGTTTAGATTCCAAAACCTTAGTGCCTCGTTCTCATTCATCGCCATCTGGTTGGAATGGACTCATAGCTGGCCCTCTGACTAGGCTTCTGAGGCTGTAAACTGCTTGGAAAGGAGACTGCCCATAATTCTATTCTCCCTTGTAGCCACTGGTGGATTTGAACCACCAGACAGGTGCGGTTTGGGTTAGCAGACAGCCCCCTATGGACCAATAGAGTTCTCTTCTTAGTCTATGTTGTTGTCATTGTTGTTATGTGCCTTTGAGTCAGAACCGACTGAGAGCTAAGCCTTCAGGGGGTTTGCAGAGGCTGTAAATTACAAGGGAGAAGCTTGCCTATCTTCCTCGGAGCAGCTGGTTGATTTGAACAGCGTGCCTTTGGGTTGGCAGTGCCGCTCCTTACCACTAAACCACCAGGGCTCCCTTCCTTAGTCTGTAGATCCAGTAAACAGACAGGAAATGAATGGAGAGCAATTTGGCAGGGGGCAGTTTTGGGGTACTAGCTGGGGTAACAAAAATGGGTGAACGCTAGATACAAGTCTGACAGGTTAGCTGTTATACTCACCCAGCAGCACTAAGGAGAGAGGCCTGGAAATCTGCTTCTCAAAGACCACATGGGCCTTGAAAGGTCTATAATTCTGTCTACTCTGTACATACAGATCGACATGAGTTGGAGTGGACGCCATGACTCCTGACAGAGATGACAGCCAGCGTCCGGGACATCCTCTACTGCTAATCTTTATTTACAACCTCAGAAACCTGGAGAAGAGTTGTTGTGAGCTTGAATTTCTTCAACAGAAGCTATTTCTATGCTCTTTGTTTGTTTATGGAGAAAATGCAAATAGTGTGCTATTTACAACAAAGAAAATATGGCCCAATACTAGTAGCTAAGTAACTTGCTCAATGATACACAAAGTTAATAGGTGATGAAAGGGTGCAGAATGGGATTCGGACTTAGTAACAGGTCTGTGGAGTCCATGCCCTTACCCACTGCACTATACCAACTCTCAGTTATACGTTTCTCTGGGTTCTTCAGCAATAATAATAGCAAAGCTTTCTCGTTGGAACCAAACATCTCACTAGATGCTCAGCATAGCTTGTCTCGTTTTAATCTCCGTAATCCTTCCTAGCAGGTGGTAATATTTCCATCTCCTTCTGTTGGAGCTTCTGTCTCAAGCAATCAGATCCTGGAAGGTATAAACTGATTGGTAAGCTGGTGTGAAGACTGAGTTGTTGTATTAGAGATACAAACTAAATTGGCAGTTTGTTGTTTGGGGAAAACATTGTTCAGATTAATACAGCACTTGTCTGTCAGTTTTCTGTACTGAGGTAACTTGTGGGTTGCTGTAATACTGAAAGCTATGCCACCAGTGTGTCAAATGCCATAGGGATTACCCATGGTGGACACGTTTTAGTAGAGCTCCCAGATTAAGACAGACTAGGAAGCAGAATTGGCCATGCACTTCTTAAATAACATGCCTCTGAAAACCCTATGAATATGGTGACTGCCACAATGAGCTCTAGTGTGTCGGGAAGTGTGAAGATGGCACAGGATAGCACAAGGTTCAGATCTACTGTTCATTGGGTTACAATGAGTTGTACTCAACTCGATGGCCCTTAACAACAACAACAACAACAACAACAATCCATTGAGACTTACACCCTCGGAAACCCAACGGAGGGTTGCTGTGAGTTGAAATTGACCTGATAGCAGTGAGTTTCATAGATGAGAAAACTGAGGTCCAGAGAAGAATGATCTCCAAAATCACAGTAAGTCATGGGCCAAAGAGAAAGTGAACTCCAAGCTCCTAACATTGTGTTCCCTGTGTACACCCTAGACCCAGGCATTTCTTATTCAGCTTTTCCCAGGAGGACAGATGCCAGTGAAGCCCAGGGTGTCCCCTCCCCACCCTAGGGCATGACAGTCCTCCAGGGAGTGTGGCCCAGCTCAGCCCTTTTAACCATATTAAAGACAAGTGGCTCCTTGAACATCTTTTGCTCTAAGCCTGCCAGCACTATCTCCTCCCTAATTGAACTGTCCAGTTGCCAGCAGCAAAGGGAAGAACTTGGCAATGAACTAGTATGTCTATAAGGGAAGCCGTTACTTCCTCAGCCTCTATTTGATCCCATCTTAGTAAAAGACAGCACCATATACCCAGTTGTTAGAGACAAACATGCAGGAGTCATTATTTCTGTCATTCCCTTGTCACTGACATTCACTTCTGGATCCCATAATATGTCAGCTTGTTGGGAGCTGAGCGTCACTTGATGATGCATCACAGACCACTTTATGAAGACATCTACTTTTGTTCTTTGTTCCGAAGCCAGAACAATTCCTGCAGATATTTGTGGCTAATAAATTAATAAACTTTTGCCCACAAATGAAAGATTGCCCGGCTTGAAATGGCTTCAAAATTAGGGAGTTCTCAGTAGCAAAACACACACCCAGCACCATTCTCCTTGGAGAAAGGGCTCAGTCAAGAACTGGACCAGGAGAACTAGATGAAAAGACTATCTTGTCCTGTCAGAAAACAAGGAGACCCTTAAACAAAGAGACAACCCCACACCAACAAGTCTCACCCCATGGT